GGCCTGAGGCCTGCTCCCCAACGCTCAGGTCGTGGTCTCCTCTGTCGTGCCCCCACCACCGCTGCACAGACAGCCGGTGCATTAAAGATTTAAAGTCACGCCCACTGCCTTCCTGACTTTACCGCCGCAGCCGCCATTGGTGCTGGGAATCCCACTCCACACCTGCTGTTTCCTTACCCACAGGGCCTCCCTCCCTGGTAGGATGCCCTTGCATGTGAAGGCCTCCGTTGCTCCTAAGGGCCCCTAATTATCGTCAGGTTCCCAATTACTATCAGTGACTGGCTCCCTGCCACACCCTCCCCAAAAGCGCCCACACGGTAGGCCACGTATTTCCCCACTTATCAATGTTCCCACAACTCCAGCTGTTATCACCGGAACTTTGCCAAGTGTCTGAAGAATCTTCTCTTCCTGGGAGTGGATCTAAAACATTTTAGCCAAAATTACAGAGTCCGCTGTCAGCGAGAGCAAGGACCAATTCCTAGAAGCTGCCTCTCGAAGTCTATCTCAGGAGAGTGACAAGGGTTAAGGGTCCAAGAGCTAAAACTCCAAACCCGCTCCTCCAGTCTGATCCTAGTTTTTTTTGTTTTTTATTTATTCTTTTTATTACGTGTGTATATGTGGTGTGCCCATCACAGTGCATGTGTATGCAGAGGTCAGAGGACAGCTTTGTGAGAGTCTGTTCTCATTTTCTACCATATGAGGTCCAGGGATCCAACTCGGGTCCTCAGGCTTAGCACCATAGCCATCTTGCCAGCCCCTGATCCCAGTTTTAAAGATATTTGGCATCCCTAGAAAAGTCATGCCACCCATTTTTATCTTGTCAACCCAAATCACTCTGGAACCAGCTCTTACAGTGGTGAGAGTCAGGCTGCTTCCTTCACCTCCACATAGACACTAACTCCAGCACCAGGGGAGACAGATCTGGATTAAGTTGTTATGAAGACAGCCTGGATTCTGGCTGAGCCCAGAGCTGACTTTTATCCTAGCACTTTCTCTGCCATAGCAGATTGTGCTGGGAAAGAAGACCTGGTTTTCATATCTTTGGAGAAGCCAAAAAGGAGAGATGGGTACCCAGCCAGGAAAATGTTTCTGCCTTCCAAAGATCTCTGGATTGACAAGTCCAGGAGAGCTCACAAATGACAGGCAACTAGCTAACAGAAACCATATAAGACAAAGACAAGATTATA